CATTTTGGACCGTTGCTTTGCTATTATGTCATATTTATTCTAACAGTCACTTCATATATTTTTGAAGCCGGATTAGTAAGTGCATATATATTCAGAACTGTCATGTCTTCATATGGATTTGACTTCTTTTGGAATACATTTCACACTCTCCAATAGTATTTCTTTCTAAAAAAATGTACTTGGATTTAAACTAGGAGAGATGTATTGGCTTTCTTTTGAGTATCACTTTTTTCCTTTGGTTATTCTATTTATCTTCCCTTAGATTTAAATGTATATCTTATAGACAGCATATCATTTTTAAAATTTGGTTTTAATTGGAGTCTTGTGTTATCATTACATTTAATTGCTAGTTTGGGGGGATTTAATTCTCCCCTCACTAGTTTCTTGGGGGAAGAATTCAAAGAGTTTTTAGCTCATGATTCTACATCACATGTTCCTCTACTACATTTTCAGGTAGCAGATAACCAGCGTGACATCAAATATTTTGCCAACAAACAGAATCCTTAGCTTCTTATCTTTTCAGGGAGGTAGAAGAGAAGCTCAGCCAAACACGCTATCAAATATTGCTGCACTTATCAAATTAGAGAATGAATTTATGTAAAGTGTGTGGCACATATGAGTCATTATGCTAATTTTAAGTAGACAAAGTGATGTACATTTGCCATTATTTCTGTTGGACTTGTCACATGGTATTTTCTTTACATTACCTTCTGATATTCTTCATTATAAAACATAGATTGATCCCACTATCTCCGGGAAAAATAACTTTTCTCTGTATAAAATGAATATTCTATGAGAATAAAGCAGTCTTTCTCGAAGGGTTTGAAATGAAACTGTGGCTACGCCCTTGTCTCCTGTCTTACTCTCTTTCTTGTCACTGATACACACAACTTGAAGGAGTAGAGATTTATCTCAGCGCCAGTTTGCCAAGTTTCAGCCCATGTTTGGGAGACTCAAACACAGAAATACCTTGGAAGCCAAGGCAGGGGAGAGCTGCTCATAACATGGCGGCCTGGAAGTAGCGTGAGAAGGGAGGAGCTGGGGACAAAGATACACCCTTCTAGGTCACACCCAGTGTGACCACCTCCATCCGGGCCCTCTCCCAGCCATCAGCTCGGGAAGCATACATGGCTCCACGAAGCCATGGCGTTGGAAAGCCAGCCTCTAAACACGTGAGCCTTGGGAGATACTCACTTCCGACCATCACAGCTCCCGACCCCACAGAAAGGGAATTCAGTTGCATGAGTACTAATTTTCCACTGCTCGCTGTCTTTGTAAGGCAACCAAAGGATTTGGGAATATATTCCTGTCAACTCTCAGGTTGAAAAAACTCCACATGGATTTCACCCAGCCGTCTTTCGGTTGTGATCAAGAGAATGCAAAAGAATCCTGACCACAAAAGTGATTCATCACCAAAGCAATGCGTAAAGCAGTCATGTGCCACTCACCCGGCCTCACAAGAACTCACTCTTGGACTCACGAGCAAAATCAGTCACAGAAATGTGGAACAGGGGAGATTTATCTGTTACCAGATCATACAAATAGCTTTTAGGAGCTTTTGATTATTTATACCAAAATAAATATTAAATACAGCAATGTGGGTACCGAAAAGTATCACAGGGATCCTAGGATGACTCTGCACAGATTGGGTGGAGAGAAGGCATGGATGGGTTGCTGGATAGAAGGAGAGAATGCCTCTCTGTCCGTTTCAGGGCCATTCTCTGGGAAGTGGCCAATGGGGAGAACAAAAAGAAGATCCTTCCATATAAGAAACTGGTACAGAAGTGTAGCTTCTATCTTGGAGGTACTGAATAGGAGGCAGACAGCATGTGACATGGTCAATAGTTTTTTATGATGAGCCGAATGGGCTGTGGATAAAAAGAACAAATCAGATACCCATCTTTCTTTCCAGTTGATAATGCAAGCCAGGTCAGCAGGGTGTCCTCCTCACAACGGTCCTGCCATGAGGATGGCAAGGATGGCAGCATGTGGTGGCACACACCTATAATCCCATAACTCTGGGAGGCTGAGGCAGGAAGATGGCAAGTTGGAAGTTAGCCCAGGCAATGTAGTGAGATCCTGACTCATAAAAGAAAAGGGTTGGGAGTATAGCTTCATTTGAAATTCTTGGATTCAGTTCCCAGGAGCAAAAAAGGAAGTGGGGAGCCATCCAAGCAAGGCACAAGTATGGCCTCGGGTCCTAAAACTCAAGGCACGCTCCTCCCTTGCCTGACTTCCCTGCTCTCAGGGGCTGGTGACTGAAGCTCTTTCCCAGTTTGGGAGAGAGAACACGATGGGTGTGGTTGGTGTTTCCTAGAGAAAACAGCAGACAATTTCATCTTGGGAGGAAGGGGTAAGGAGTTTGCCACTAGGTCTCAATGAAGATCTGACGTAGCATTGCTATCCACATGACCCGGGGTCATGCCCATCTGGGTAAACATGACTTCTTGCCTCCTAGTCATTTTCACAGTTTTCACTCTGACTGCCTTGTTCATCTTCTGACAACATATTTGAGACAATCACCTGATGGTTGTGGCTTCAGTTGATCTCACCCCTATTCCTTTTTTTTCCTTTCATACCAGGGATCGAACTTAGGACCTTCTGCTTTTGAGGCAGGCAGCAGAACCACGGAGCTAAATCCCCAGCCCACCCCAGTTCCCTTTGTATGCGCCGTTTCCTTCTGGTCTCCTCCTCCTTCTCCCACCACTTCCTGGGACAGTTCCCAGGGACACACAAGTCACTTCTAGATTCCTGAGCTCGGGCTCTGTCACTGTAACTTCTGGGTACCAACTCTATCTCTGGCCCCATAACTTTCTTCTTTTGTATCTCATGGCTTGGCAAATTGTTTCCTCAAAGGGTCATGATGAAAAATGTCTCTGGCTTTATGGGCTGTGTGTTGCAACCGCCCAACTTTAATCCAGGCAACATAGGAACTAGAAACAGGTGGAAGGAGAGAGCTGGTGCCAGGCTGTGTTTGCCCACCCTTGTCCTGGTTTACCCTCTCGGGTGGCTGTCTCTTGTTTTCTCACCCCACATCTGCAGAAGACACACACACACCAGAGCATCTCAGTGCCCCCACCTTGGCCCCTGTCTCCTCAAACATATAAATAAGCACAGAGCACCCAAGTTGTGCCTTGAGTCCTGTCAGTGAGAAATACGGGTTCGCGGTGGCTGTCAACTTGTGGTGTCTCTTGTGGTGTGGGAGATGCGAAACTCATGATTTCTCCAGAGCGTATTCTGCCCTTGCTGTTGGCTCTACCAAAGTTAGCTGAGGCATTGTTGAGCAGGCAAGTGACTTCTTCTGTTGCTTCTAGTTTCTTTTTAAGAATTTATGCGGGTTTTTTCAGCTATGTGAGTGACCTGTGGATACAGGATCATTCCAAAGCAACGAGAGATAGGTAGAATAGGCAGCTAAAATGTCACAGCCACACCCGTCGCCTTCGTTTCCATCTCCATTGAAAGCGTGTTTATTACTCGATGTTACTGAAGGTCACGCCTGTGCATGTATACATAAATAAATACGCACCAAGTGTAACAGAAGCAAAATTTGTATAAAATTATAGGTAAGGATTTCACATACATGGAATCTATGCATCTCTATAGATCATAGAATTTATAAATTTCATTGTGTATTTTACATATATATTTATAAAATCATATTCTACCTGGCCATTAATTATTTTCTGCAATTCATATATAGGATAATTTTTTAATATATAGAAGACCTACCTTGTCTATTTAGAACAACTATGATATTTTATAGCCTGAATGCACCTTAGTTTACTTAGACAAGTGAACAAGTATCCTAGTCGCTCCTATTTTTCTTGGTGATTAAGAGTGTTACACATCTTCGCATGTAACACAAACGGATGCATAGGTTCGTTTCTCGAATGGGAGGCGCTGAGTTGCAGCTCTGTGTACTTTGGATCCAAGAGGATGGAGAAGTCCACCTCCGAAAGGCTGCGCCAGTGGGTCACAGTGGAGACATCTGCTGCATGGAGGCCTCGGGGTCCCCCTTCCAGAGTCACCTCCTGGCTCTGTGGTGCCTGGGTGTGGTAGAAATGCACCACCATTGGTGAAGCCCCAGACCTCAGGGTTGAGGGGATGAGCAGCAGTTTGCAGCCAGGGCCCCAGGTCCTGGGAATCACCGAGCAAGGAGACTTGGGAGCTCGTTTGCTTCGTGCTTCGGTGTTTCCGTTTCTCGGAATGGTCCCTTCTCCTTGATGCGGCGGTGATGGCCCGGCTGCAGGAATCCTGGGTGTTGCCATCCACCCACCGAATGAGGGCCACAGCCTTGGCCCTCGATGTCCAGGGCTGCCCCGCGTCACCTCGTCCGCCCAGGAAGCCTCCGGTGGCCGGGAGGGGCAGAGGCACTCGGGGTAGGTTTGACAAGGTGCTGTGTCCTAAAGCCTGACTGACAGAAATAATAAGTTAACATGTAGGAGAGAAATCTCAGTCCTGGAGCTGGAGTGGGCAGAAGGCCAACAGAAATTGTTTTGTGGATGAAATATTTCCTGAAAATAGCGCTCCCAGCTCAGCCTAATGCAATTAAAGTTAGTGATGTACATAATATGAAAACTGGGAGCGCTTCCTGCTAATAACCACTGTGGAACCAAGGCAATCCATTTCATTAATTTAATATACACTTTCATAGTCCCCTGGTAATAGAAGTATAATTAAAATGATATGCTTTGATAGGCTTTTCTTTCCAAAATGAAATTTTGCAAGTACAGGTTTTGAAATATATGTAGATATATTTTTTCCTGTAATTATTACTCATTGTACATTTATTTTGGATTGTTCCTTTTTCACTCCCCCGCTCTGAAACATTTTCTTAAAGTTGTATCCTCCTGAAATGATTCCGGTATATTTCCTGATATGGGAAACTGATTAAAAGAAAGCTATGGAGAAGGTGAGAATTAATTGCTGAAAGAGAAAGGTGGAGAAGACTTCAGATCAAACTTGAACTTACTTAAGATTTTCATCCTACTTTCTTACAGAGAGACTCAGTTCAGCTCATCAATAAAAGGACACAAGACTTAAAAACAGAAGGGCCAAGAAAACCAGTTGCAATAGGGATACTAAGAAAATGGCATCCAACTTCATGAACAAGTAAGCTGTTCTGTCTTATAATTTTTCTGTATGATTTTTCAGAGTCTTGGTAGAATTTTTGTCATATTGTATGAATGATTTAACTTCTCTGATTGGGATTAGCTGGGGGAGTAAATTAAGTCTTGTTAGTTGTTTTATTCTGGCATGTAGGGTTATTATTTCTAGGTCATGGCAGCCTTGGCATGGTGGCTTTTGCTTGAGACAGGGTCTCACTATGTAGTTGAAACTGACATGGAACTCACTATGAAGCCCAGGCTGGTCTCAAACTCACAGCAATCCTCCTGCCTCAGCCTTCCAAGTGCTGGGATTACAGGTGTGCATGCGCCATCATGCCTGGCTCTGGCCTCTGCTAATTTTAAAGGAAACTCCAGCAGGAAGACTTGTGGGCTTTCAGAGTGATGAAAAAACATACCCAGGAAACCCTCAGGATCACATACACAAAGTCTGCCCAGCTGACTGCACCTACTGATCCATTCGGACTTCAGAGACATCGGTACCTTTGGGGTGAAGCAGAGGCTCATTACAGAGATGAGGTGTTCTCCTCACTTCATTGTAAATATTTTGTAAGTGGAGCCGGGTTCCCACCTTCTATTGGCAATGCATGAAAGCCTCCTGCATAAAGCCCAGCTATGGAGAACGAATCTGACCACATGCCTCAAAGCCCACATTCTTCAACATTGGGGCTTGCTACTCAGAATCCTGAAACCAGTCCTCTGTGACTCTCTCTCCCTCTCCCTCTCTTTGCCTTCTGCTTTTAATTTTGCCCCCAGTTCTGGTCACACACCTCAAGCTATGCTGATTTCCTTATTTTTTGCTCAGGAAATCCCTTCCCTAGGATCTCCATAGCTGATTTCATCCATTGCTTTGTGTTTCTGCTAAATTTTGCTTTATAAAAGAAGCCAGTAAGAACCACCTAAATAGGAGGAAAACACATCACTCTCTATGGCCTTTATCCCTCCTCTTCCTACAGCCCCAAGAACCCTGACATACCGCATATCTATTCATTTGTCTGTCTTCTCCTTGTACAAACCTGTGCCCACCCTGCCCAAAAACCTTCACAGTTTTCCCTATCATGTTCCCAATACCTAGAATAATGCCCAGTACATGCTATGTACTAAATAAATACCAGTTGTAAACATCAACTTTCCTTTTTGTTCATTCCAGCCTTTTAACTGCTAGTAAAATTCCATGATTTTTCAAAATCCTGGACACCACATTCCATAATGAGAAGTCATCATGCTGTTGACATAAACTTTAAGGTGTATTTTTTGTAGCATTTCAAGTTTGTCATTGTACTTAAAGATTGATCACATTTTGGATCATATGTTCTCTACATGAACTCTCTTCTTAAAAACCTAAAATCTGCCAATTATAGCTGCCAAATTCAATAAAATTACTCATCATGGACATGACACTACGTCATCTCTACACACACCACATAAACTCACTTTTTAAAACACGAATTGTAAGATGTTTAGTACAGATTGACAAGGAATTTAGCCTGGTGCTGATTATACCCTTCATTTGAATACTAATCTCAAATTAGCATGGATCTATTTTCTGATTGGTAATTTAGCAAAGCTAAAGTATGCCTCCTCTTGATTGAAAATAGTTCCAGATTTTGCATTAATTTGTGTGGTGCTATTTACCGTATTAAAATTTTAAATATGTATGTGTGCCGTGTGACAGATGTGTGCTTCTTGGGTCTCTACCATCTCTGAAGAAGGGCGGGCATAATAAGAACATGAAAACTCGTATCTGGAAAGTCATGTAGGTAGAAATGTTATCGTGTATCACTGTGTTTTGACTCGTACATGAGCAGACTAGTCTACACACAATGCCTAAAATTCCTCTTTAGTAAATAACCTTCTTTCAGCTCTGCACTATTATGATTTTAAAAATAATACTTCCATTGTTTCTTGGCTTTGCATGAACTTGTTTTATCTCCCTAACTTGGTTGTGTCAGTTTCTTGATCACCGGAACCACACAACCCCTGTGTGATTTGTTTCTAGATTTCCCAGTACGGTATTTTACACAGAGAATGCTAAGAGCAAACAGCTATTCCCCTCTGTTGTATTATTTTCACTCAGAAGAGAGCAAGGCTCTGAGCTGCAAATGCTTTTCTAATCTGATGGTGTCTCTATCTCAGCAGAATTAACCAATGACGAATAGAAACGACTGTTACCTGCACTGCATTGACAACCTTGGCAAGGCTGTGTCCATATCCACTGCACAGTGGACACAGCGATGCTAGGCATTGACACTGCAACACTATACGTTTTAGAGGTGCTGCCCCTCACAGATGTCTGCATTCTCCTTCATAGTTGCTTCTTGGCTTAGTGCTGGAGACCCCTGCAGTCAGGTTCCAGTCCCCACCTGCCCAGTATGCGATGCAGGACTGAGATAAAGAGTACACTAGCAAACAGAACTAAGACAGAGAAAGTGGGATGCCAGGATGACCAATGTGGGAATAACAGACAAAGGTGCTGGCCAGTCCCAGGCCTTGACTTTTATTGGCAATCGACTGGGGTAAAGGCAACATATGGTATTTATGGAAATGAATGTGAACAAGGCTCAGAACAGACAAGACAAATCATTCTGGAATTAAGAACAGAATAGACAAAATGTATGATTGTAATTAGACCACTGTCCTTCTGTTCTGAAGGTTTGAGTTGTGGGAATGGAATTTGGGTGTGAGTTGCTCTGACCTCAGCACACAGGCTTTGGCTTGACACACTTCTATGAACCCCAGGTGTGGGGTTAGCTCTTCACAGCCTGCTTTGGGCAGAATCCATATTACAGCACTCTGCAGCTTAATGACTCTATTTTATTCAATGCAAGTACCCTTAGCATAATTTTAAGAGCCAGGAGATGGCATTTTGGAAGGCCAGGTGACAAGATGGTCAGCCCATGTCTTGGTGCACACATAGCTCAGATGGCTATCCTTCTCTCTTGGGAACTGAAGCAACTGTGTAGTTATGAACAGTAGTAGAAACAGAAGACAAAACCATGCTGAGAAATGTTGTGACATAGCACAGGCAGGGAATCTCTGAGAAGCCACTTGCGTGCAAAAGTCATGAAGGATTAGAACTAAGGGTCAACAGAGAAGGCAGACTGCTAGACAGGGAAGAATAGAAAAGAGTCACAAAGAAGAGCAGACAGCATGCCAACCCTGGGAGAGAGAGGTACATGGCAGTTCTTTTAGCCAAAGTATCAAACAGGTGAGATCATAGTGATTGCCAGCCCTGTGTTTGTTTGATGCATTTAAGTGTAATGGTTTTAGTTCATCACATTCTCCAATTCATCTCAGGCTTACTGTTGTCTGTTGCCTTACACCTCGATGCTGGGAGGATTCCGCTCTCTGCCCAAGGTCGAATTTCATTCCATAGAAAGCCTCTGGCTTCAGTCCCCACACAGCCCAGCTGCATGGTAGCTCCTGCCCCATTCTCGTGTGACCGAAACTTACTTTGTTTATGAATAAATGAGTCTTTCTTCCCTGCAGTAGCATCCACATTGGCCCCACTAGAGTCAGATCTGACACCTGGCTCCGTCCTCACTTCACAACACCACAAGTAGACCTGTCGGTGTCCCTGAACTCATCTGAAAAGTTTCTTCTTTGCTGCTGTTATTACATGTGCGCCGGGCTTTAAACCGGCTTTAGATTTAGTGATGTGAAAATGAACATCGACTGGTGTTAGATTGAAGGAAGGGAGAAAGAAAAGAAGAAGTAAGAAATAGCAAGGAAAAGGAAAACAGAAAGACAGAACAAAAGAGAGAAGAAAGCAATTGTGGGAGATAATGGGAAGGGAAGGTGGGAGGGAAAGAAACAAGAAAAACAACACTACGGTTTAAGTTAATGACATCTTCCATCCTATCTAATGAGACTACGATATTTTCCAAGTCCTCAGGGAGTGAACTTTCTCCATTTGGCTTATTCTTGTGATGTTTCTTTTTTGGTTTGTTTTGGAAGATTTCACTAGTCGCTCAGGTTTTTCCTTTTCCATTCACACTCTCTAAAGCACCCATTTACCAGTGGGGTTTTCAGGCATTTCAGGATTTTCACTCAGACTTCCTGAAGCTCTCAGGAAATTATCCTCAACAATCAGAATCTTCAGAAGGATAGTTGTACAAGGGGGGAAATGAAAGCTGAAATTCTCCACGCTCTTTTGTCTCAGTGAGAGGGTGAGCTTCTCCAAATGCCAGTGGCAGGGACTCTGCAACTATGGCATTTGACAACAAGGGATGGTCAGAGAGGAACAAAAAAGGGCTGAGTGGAAAGAAAATATCACATGGTAGATGTTGGAGATTGTAGCAAGTGTACTTTGGTCAGCAACTAAAGTGATAAAGTGTTATTAGAGAGGTACTTCATGTTATAAATATAGAGATGTATCAACGCATTTGATGCTTTACCAAAGTTTTATTGGTTCCCCAAGAGAATCTTGTCGAAGTGGTTTTATTTCCATCACATAGATGAGAAAGTGGAAATGAAACAAACACAGTTCCAAGGTCTCCCAGCCCGATTTCAGGGCTGTAAGTCATGTGCTCTGTGACTGCACCAACATACATTTCAGGGTCGTGTGCAAAATGCAAAAGCCGACAGGGTGGGCGGACACCTCTGCCACACTTGGCACCAGTCTGCCCTTTGCTTTTTAAGTGCAACTTTCTGCATCACCAACCACCAAATGTACCACTCCTCCCAAAAGCAGATGTATAAGTAACTGCTACCAAACCATTAAGAAACTTAAAAGAACTCAGAGCTGCTAACAAAAATAACCCAAGCCATTTGAATCAATACGTAAAAATGCCAGCTATGTACCAGACTCACTTAGAGGTGAAGTGAACCAGACACAGTGAGACTAAAACATCTGCCTGTTCGCTTCTCATCAAGAGCTCTTCATGGCGGTGCTTGAGAAATATTTCGCTTACTGTCCACGGAGTATCAGCTGTGTGGCTGTCAGACTCGGATGTTAATATGCTTGAAGGAAAGATGCCAACAGAG